ACACACACACACACACACACACACACACACACACACACACACACACAGAGCTCCCTAGTTGCTAACTCTGGGCAGGCTTCCCAAATGAGATGAGTGTAATTGTCTGGAAAGAGATTGCTAAGATGCAGCCTTGTGGATCTCACCCAGGGGGACCTCTCCAACGGTGCCAACAAGCTGATCATTTACAGAGAAGGCTGAAGAAACCCCAAGTTGGAGGGGTTGGTGGTAGCAAGGGAGAGAGTTCGAACTTGGGTAGAAGAAATAGAATAGCAGATCTGGATGCCCACAGACATCCCACTCCACCTCACACCCCAAAGGCACCACAGCCTCCCTCATCCTTCACTCTTAGAAAGGCCTTCATCATCTAAATTGACACCATGTAACTCCTAGTGAACTGGGATGCATGCTTCTCCACAAAGCTCTCTTATGGACTTTGTCTCTTTTTAAACCCAGTCAATTGTTGATGGCCCACATGAAGAAAGGGAAGCAGATGTGTGGATAATCCCAAAGAGAAAAATAGCCCCAAAGTCATGTGTATTTTTCATCAGTGAGAGACATAATAGGGAGGCAGTGTGGTTTGGTAGGAAGAATGTTGAATTTAGAGGCAGAAAATTCATATTAAAATCCTGGCTCTATCATGTATTACCTATACGACCTTGGGAGAGCATTCAGCCCTCTGGGCCTTAGTTTTCCTATCTTCAAAGTTAGAGGCTTAAATTAGGTTCTCTAAGGTCCTTTCCAGTTCTAAAATTCTAAGATACTACAAACTTGCAATTGGTTATACCATTTCAAGTTGAGAAGAAAAATAGTCAAAACACTTATTTCGTGACAATTTTTACTTTCTTGATTAGTCAATACTCTTCAGAACAACTCAATAAGAATTTGTTATGTTGCCTTTCAGCTTATTACTTATTTATCATCCTTCCTTGGGAATGGATGTTCTAACTTTCCATCCCCTCTCCCTTTCATTCATCCAAAAAATGGTGGTCACATCGTGGGCAGGAAAGGAGATACAAGGACACTCTCAAGGTCTCTCTTAAGAACTTTGGAAATGATTGTGTGACATGGGAGACACTGGCACAGGACCACCCAGCATTGTGTGCCCTCATCAGAGAAGGTGCTGTGAGCAGAATCGAAGTAGTTCAAAAGAAGTGCAAAATACACAAATTCAGAGAATCCATCCCAAATGTTCACAAGGACTATTTGCGTCCAACCTGTGGTGGAAAATTCTAAGCTTGTATTGGTTTGATCAGCCACAGTCGGACACACCATAACTTGACTCTAGCATAGTGAGGTCGTTCTGGTCCTTTTCAAGAACAAAAGACAACAACTAACCAAACCAACTAACCATCCAACAAATATTAATGAAGCCCCCATTGTATGCAAGGCAATTTGATACAACTAGTATTTATCAATCATCTACTGTGCTAAGCACTAGACAAAAACCAAATTAGTTCCTGCCCTCCAGGAGTTTCCATTCTACAATGGCTCCCTATTGTCTTTAGTATAAACCACAAACTTCTCTACTTGGCAATTAAAGCCCTTCATAATTTGGTTCCACTTTATCTTTCTAGGCTGATTACATATTCATTACTTCTCAAATAATCTATGTTCCAGCAAAAATGGCCTACATGTTGCTCCCCATAGATTTCATTCTATCTTTTGTGTCCATGTTTTTATACAGTCTATGCCTAGAATCATCTCCCTCAACATCTTTGTCTCTTAGAATCCTCAACTTCACTCAAGGATCAGCAGAAGTGTCACCTTCTATAAGAGGCATTTCTTAATTCCTCTAGTTGTTAGTGCATCTGCTATCTCTAAAATTACTTTTTGTTTAGTAGTTTGTATTTACTCATATGTATGCATGTTGTCTCTCCACCACCGGTAGAATGACCATAGAGTAATAGATTTAAAGCTGAAAGGGACTTCAGAGATCATCTGGTCCAACCTTCTTATTTTTTGTTTTTGTTTGTTTGTTTTTTGAAACCAGGTCTCCCTATTTGCCCAGGCTAGAAGCCTATTAGCCACTCACTGCCCAATCCCGTTGTGGGTCATCACAGAATTCTGAAACTACTCCATGGACCAGTTTGCCCTTCCACAGACCCTATTTCCCCCTCTACTCTCAAAGACTCACCACATTGGTGCTTTTTATTATTGGTCAACCTTAATTCTTTTTTTTTCAATTTTTTATTAATTTATTTTGATTTATCAACAATCACTTCCATATGCTTTTGAGTTTAAAATTTTTCTCCCCCTTCCTCTCCACCACCCTCCCCACAATGGGCTCACAATCTGATATAGGCTATACATAGACATTCCTATTAAACATGTTTTCACATTAGTGATGGGTCAACCTTCATTCTTAAAGAGGACTAATGACATCACTAGGGTGATGCCTTGACTTGCACATGAATTAGATTTAAGTGAGATAGAGCTGTGCAAAGTTGTTCATCTCATTCTCTCCTCCAGTCATTGAAATCTAGTGTGGACACCCAATCAGCTTAGCCATAGTTCAGCTCAGCACTCTTAACACTCAAGTGATCCAGCAGCCTTAGCTTTTCCCAGTAGCAGGGATTACGGACATGGGTAACCATGTCAGAACCAACCCTCTCATTTTACAGATGAAGAAACTGAGGCCCAGAGAGACTAAGTACCCAGGTGTCACAGAGGCAGTAAGTGGCAAAGCCAGAATTTGAATCAAGGTCCTCTGACTACAAGTTTAGTGTTCTTTCCACTGTACTACAATTGCCTCTCTAATGAAAGCACCTTCAAGGCAGGAATATTTCATTTTTGTCTTTGAATCCTTATCACCTCACAGTGTCTGGTGGGTAGTGGGCACTTAATCAGTGTATGTTGTATTGAATGTATATTGTATAATAATAAAAAAGTAAATACAATGAGATATAATAATAAATACAATGCAACACAATAGAGATACAGAATTATTGTACTTGTAATTGACCCTGGGCAAGTCACTTAACCCTATTTGCCTCTGTTTCCTCATCCACAAAATAAGCTGGAAAAGAAAATGGCAAACTACTCCAGTACTTTTGTCAAGAAAACCCAAAATGGGGTCATGAAGAGTTGGACACAATCAACTAAACAAACAAAAAGTTTGTTTTGGGGGGATCACTAAGAACTGAGGGTGTCAGAAAATGTCCCGAGTAGGAGGTGGTAACTGACATAAACCTTGAAAGGAACTAAGGATTCCAAGAGGTGGAAATGAGGAGGGAGAACATTTCAGGCATGGGGCGCAGCCTGTACAAAAAGACATAGGCAAGAGATTAAATACTGTGTCAAACTATGCCAGTTTGACTGGAGCTTAGAGTGTGTGAATACGACTAAAATCAAGTCAGTCTAGAAAGACATACTGGACATAGTTTGCCTTTAAATATCAAATAGAGAAGTGTCTATCTTATTCTTTAGGCAATAAGGAGTCACTCAGTCTACAAGAGAAAGAGATTAACGTGGTCAGACTTATGCTTCTGAATATCAGTTTGCCAGTTGTTTGGAAGATGGATTGGAGAAGATAGAGACTGGAAAAAGGGATAATAATTAGAAAACTAGCTTTAACCCTAACACACGCAATAGTCCAGGCAAGTGGTGATGAGGGGCTGATGTCCTGGGTTATCTATGTGAATAGAAAGAAGGGAATGGGTGTAAGAAGCGCTGTCGAGGTGAAATCGGCAAGACTTGGCAACCGATTGAAGGTGACAGATGAGGAAGGGGAAAAAGTAGAGGATGATGCAAAGTTTGTGATCTGGGTGGCCAAAAAGATGTCCTCAACAGAAATAGGAAAGTTAGGTATATTGGTGAGCTTCAGGAGTACAGGAACCTGGAAGACAAAATGGATTCCATTTTGGACAAATTAAATTTGAGACGCCCATGTGAAATCAAAGTAGAGATGTACAGAAGTTTTATAGCGCAGGATTGAAGCTCAAGAGAAAAATGAGAGCTGGATATATAAATTTGGGAGGTATCTTCATTGACATGAGTGCTGGTGAGATCACCAAGAAATAGAGTGTAGGAAGAGAAAAGGACATGGGGCAGAACGGTGGGGTACACTAAGCTTCAGGGGATGAGAGCAGGATGCAGATGGCACTGGGGATATAAAGGCAAAAACAAAACAGTCCCTTGCCCCATTCTACTGGGAAGAGCTTTCTATTTATTTTTTTCAGATTCCATCTTAGTCTAACTGCCTGTCTCAGAATGTAGGAGAGATTGATAGCAAAAGGTACTAGATGATGGTTCTAACACATAGCTGGCAGTCTACTGCTGATGACCTTAAAAAAACAACGATTAACTTAAGGCTTCCATTTCTTGGCTGAATCACACAGAAGACTTGATTGCCTTAATCCTATTTAAATGTCTTTAAATGCATACACTGTGCAAAGATAAGTAAAATAGGCAAGGGGAAAGAGCAAACCAGATCAAGGCAAAAGGTTGAGGCTAGCATCTACTCTCCCAATAGGCATGAAGAAGAGACCAATTTTTTAAGCAACAAGAAAAAAAATTCTAAGGATTAGAAGAACATAAACAAAATCCATTCAAAGGGAATCAGAATTACATCATTGATCCTGGATGATATAGATTTAGAGGTGCAAGGTATCTTACTGGTCATATAGTCTAGCTTTCTTATTTTACAGAAGAGGAAAATGAGGCAACGAAGGATCAAGTGACTCAACCAAGGATCACACAGTTTGTAAGAGTCTGAGATGGGATTTAAAACCAAATTCAAAAATCTCTGCTTTAATGCAATACAGCTTACCTGGCACTCCAGACTGTGGGGTGACTTGGTAAACAACGGGTGTCTGTGCCTTGGAAAACTATAAGGAAACAAAAATTCACGTGAACATTTTTATCAGATTCATAACTGGATTCCCTAACCTTTCCCGGTGAAATATTAATTGGTCCAGTTATAAATGGTTAACTTTTCTCAAAATGATTTTACATCTATGATCTCATTTTATCTAAACAACATCCCTGTCTTGGAGGTAAGGCAAATATTAATATCTGTCTTTTGGTCAAGGAAAGTTAAACACAGAAGTAAAGAGCCATACAGCTACTTAGACAGTAGACCCAGGTCTCCGGACTCCCAGCCCCAAGATCTTTCTACCATTTTTTACCCATACCCTTACATCAAGGGGCAGAAATCTTTCAGAGATGGCAAGCCAAGTCTTTATTCACTCACTGGTGGAAGTAGGTAGAAGGTGGTCACCACCCAGGTAACCCTCCAAAAAAGTCTTCTGACCTGAGTCCCCAAGGGGAACTCATAGGTACAGAAATGAAGATATTCTAGGACCAGGGGTATAAAACTCATATAGAACCAGGAACTGCTAAACTATACATAAGGATCCCTTTGGGCTCATATTGACTTTTAAAAATCATGTATTAGTGTTACTTATATTTTATTGTATTTTTATTTGTTTTTTAAAATGTTTTCCAAAAAAAAAAGATTTTCCAATTACATTTTAACCTGGTTTGACCAAACTCAGGAGTATTATGCGGACTGCATTTCTGATACCTGTGATCTAGTCCAACCCTCTCATTTCACAAGTGGGAAAATTATGATGAGACAAAGTACCAAAATTTGTGGGATGCAGCCAAAGCAGTACTCAGGGGAAATTATATATCTCTAAACACTCACATCAATAAAAGAAGAAAGAGAAAACCAATGAATTGGGCATGTAACTTTAAAAAAAAAAAAGAAACTAGAAAATGAACAAGTTTAAAATTCCCAATTAAAAACCAAAATGGAAATCCTGGAAATCAAAGGAGAGATTAATAAAATTGAAAGTAAAAGACACCAAAGAAGTAATAAACAAAACTAAAAGGGTTTTTATGAAAAAATAATAAAATTAATGAACTATAGATTAATTTGATTTCAAAAAAAAGAAAGAAGAAAATGAAATTATCAGCATCAAAAATTAAAAGTGAGGGATTAGCTAGGTGGCACAGTAGATACAGCACTGGCCCTGAATTCAGGAGGACTTGAGTTCAAATCCAGCCTCAGACACTTACTAGCTGTGTGACCCCGGGCAAGTCAGTTAACCTCAATTGCCTCAAAAAAGAAAAAAAAAGGAAAAAGAAAAGTGAGAATGCTCCACAAATGCAAATGAAATTAAAGCAATTATTAAGAACTATTTTGTCTAATTATATGTCAATAAAACTGACTGTGAAACGAATAAATATTTACTAAAATATAAATTGCCCAGATTAACAAAAGAGGGAATAGAATACCTAAATAACTTTATTTTAGAAAAAGAAATTGAATAAGCCACAAATGAGCTTCCTATGAAAAAAATCTCCAGGACCAAATGGATTTACAAATATTTACTACCCAACATTTAAAGAACAATTCATTCCAATAATATATAAAGTACTTGAAAATAGGTAAAGAAGGAATCCTATCAAATTCCTCCTATGACACAAACATTATTTTGATACTTAAATTAGGGAAAGCAAAAACAGAAAAAGAAAACTATAGACCAATTTTCCTAATAAAAAAGATGCAAAAATGTTAAATAAAATAATAGCAAGGAAACTACAGCAATACATCACAAAGATCATACACTGATTACATGGGATTTATGCCAAGGATTTAGGACTAGTTCAATATTAGGAAAACTATAAAGTATAATTGACCATATCAATAACGAAAACAACAAAAATCCATAGGTACAGAAAAAGATTTTGACAAAATATAACACCCATTCCTATTAAAATAAAATTGGGAAGTCTAAGAATCAATGGAGCTTTTCTTTTCTTTCTTTCCTTTTTTTTTTAATTGATAAATGTTTCTTGAAGTGAAGGCTATCAGACCTAGTTAGTAGGTGATCAAAAACAAGGAAGGAAAGAAAGAAAAAAGAAAGGAAGAAAGAAAGGAAGGAGGGAGGGAGGGAGGGAGGAAGGAAGGAAGAAAGGAAGAAAGGAAGGAAGGGAGGGAGGAAGGGAGGAGAGAAATAAAGTAGGAAAGAAGGAAGAAAGGAAGGAAAGAATGAAGGAAGGAAGGGAGAGAGGGAGAGAGGAAAGAAGGAAGGACGGAAGATGGAAGGGAAAAGTGCCTACTATGTGCATTGTACTAAGCACTTTACAAATATTATGTCTTTGATCATCACAACAACCCTGGGAGATATGTGCTATTATTACTCCCATTTTACAGTAGAGGAAACTGAAGCAAATAGAGGTTAAGTGACTTGCCTAGGGTCACACAGCTAATAAATGTCTGAAGCCAGATTTTAATTCAGGTCTTCCTGACTCCAGGCCTAGCATTCCAATCACTGTATTACCTAAGACTTTTCTCTCGGTCCAGTGGTCTTCTCTATTTTTTCTTAATTTTTTTCAATTAACAAGCATCACTGAGCAATAATTTCTGCTCATTAAACACATTTTAAAAGAAAAGCCTGTTTTCTCTCTCTCTCTCTCTCTCTCTCTCTCTCTCTCTCTCTCTCTCTCTCTCTCTCTCTCTCTCTCTCTCTCTCTCTCT